GACATTGGTTGGCTGGGTCGGATGCACACATTTCTACCTGACTGTACATATAACCATTCGCGGAATTCGCACGCAGGAAAGGGTCGCTGTAATTGCTCTGGATCACGCTGCATGCTGCTTCATCTGGATCCACAGCGCTACCATTATACTGAGAAAAACATGGCAATGAGAACGGCTTCACTGACTGCACTCGTCCGCCAAGTGTAGCATTGAAGCTGGCCAAAGTACAGTTATCTGCTGCAGAAGCCCCCAAAAGATGAGCAGCCAACAGGACAAGCGAGGTCTTGGAAACCAAAGGAGCCATGTTTCCACCAAGAAAAAGCAACCAACTGCACCATGCCGAAAGAATTTTTTTTTTTTTTTTTACGAACAGGGGAGAGGCAATTGGGGGGTTAAGAGAGAATGAGTGGAAGACTCGGATGTTGATCGACACGGCACGTTCCCTGGCCGAGTTTAGTCGCATTGCGTATGGAGTCGAAACCCTGACTGAGGTTGCATTGGTGCTGATTTCCCACGCCTGGTGACTTGTTTCGGGCATTCCGTCTCATGCATGCTGACACTGGCCTTTTCTCTAAAACGTAAAAAAAAAAAAAATCCAAATCCAAATCAACAATGCACGACCGAAATCGACGTCCCAGCTATCCATTGCGGCGTGACCGACCTTTCCATCGCCGTGATGCCCCATGGCTATCCGGAACGCATACTGGGGGAATGTCGTCGCCGTCGTCCCCACGGTCGGGGCAGCGCTTGCGACCCTTGTCTATGTCCTGCGCCTGATTGCATGTCGCATGTCTACGGTTGGGTGGCGGCTGGAAGAATTGTTGATGGGTATTGGCCTGATCCTCTCGTACGGGGTCACGGCTTTTGTGATCTATAGTGAGTATAGAATACTCGCCCGTTTCTCTTGCTCACTGTATCTCGATAGCCGCCTTCAATGGTGTTGGGGTTCCAGGAAGTGAGCTTCCGCAGGACGAGCGTATTCGCCTGCAATTTGTAAGTGGTGACTTTGCCATTCTGATGGCCAGCCTTGACCAACGATTATCCTCTAGGGCTCATGGATGATCCAGAAGTTCTGGGCGCCATCCATGGCATTCGTGAAAATATCCATTCTAGTCTTTCTCAGACGACTGCTAGGCACTGTGCAGGCGGTTCGTGTGGGGGTGGCTTGTCTCATCGTCTTCACCGTTATGTGGGCCTTTACGGAGCTCATGGGCAATATCTTTCAATGCCACCCCGTCCAGTATTATTATGACACCACACTAAACGGCCACTGTATGCCCGGACAGACCAAGCTATTTCAAACATCGGCATGTTTGTCCTTGGTAGAAGACGTGATCATTCTGCTTCTGCCAATGCCGGTCGTCTGGCAGTTGCGAATCACTGTCCAGCAGAAGATCGGGCTGACGGTAGTCTTCTCACTGGGTGCCCTGTGCGTGTCCTCCAAGCAAGTCCGTGTCAATGACTGGTATGTGAGCTGACCATGTTAGGGTATGCATATTCAGCTTGCTGCGGGTGATCGAGTTCAACCACTTTCACACGGATGATCTTGCCTGTAGGTGCCAAACCCTAACTCCCAGTGGCCTCGGTTAATGCCTCCTAGCATCCAGCGCGAAAGAGTCTGTCTGGACCGCCCTTGAACTGAACGTTGCCATAATCTGCGGCTGTCTTCCTCTATTTAAGCCCCTGGTTTACAGATTTCTTGGAAGGGTCAAGGGCCAGTCGACCCGTTCGTTACGCACGCCACGCTACCTCAACCGGCTCAGTCAGGACCCTGACGGATTCCATAAAATCAGCGACCCCCAGGGCCTCACAGCAAGCAAGAACGTGGTGGTATCGACAGACCCTAGCGGACGACGTAGCTCGGAAATTGAACTGCGCGGGATCACCGTGCATACTGCGATCCAGCAGGAAGTTGAGAATCGGCCCATTGCGGATGGCTCCGACGCAACGCTCGAGAGACCATGGCCTCGGTGAGCTGGTCTGAGTCTAAGTTGATATCTAGACGCAACCATGGGGATAGATCAGTTGCAACAGTGTAGTCGAGCCCATTGAATGAGACGTCTATTATACTCATGCTGCCAGTAGTTGAATAAGCTAGGTCACCGATCTGAACGGTGACCTCATAGGGTTCATTCCATGTTCATATCCATGTCCATATCCATGATAAACTAAATTAAATGCACGGGTGATCGACATCTTGGATTCTTGGATAAATCTTGACAAAAAGCTTAGATTAGGCTTAATGAGTTTGGGTGGGTTGATGCTGCATAGTTCTTCTTCTTTTCCTCCTCCTTTCTGTTTTTTGGGGTTGAGAAATTATATCTTAGTTAGGCAATGGTTAGTACCCAGTTGATGATATTATATGGTATTTATGGATAATCATTAAACCGTATCACCGCATTGATAGAAGCTTTCTATCGAGAATATAAATGTTCTCGTGGGTTCTTACAGAGCGCTGTACGCCCACAGAACTACGAAAAGAAGATGATGATAGATAAATACACCTCTTTGATCCTCAGTAGCTCCCTCGTGGGACAATGCTGGTATACATTTTTCTGGGGTCAGGTCGTGCTGTGGAGTTTGGAAGTATGTCCAGTCTTGCACAAATTATTGCACCAGGGGTGGACTGGTTTACCATCTTTGTGGCTGTCTTGCTATCTCTGGTCTGTCTCACTATCTCTGATCTAATCCAAGTAAAGGTGCCTTGTATAATATTGATAATTCTTTCCCATAAGCCCAAATCCCAGAAGAAGATAATTTCACCCACGGCAGTTTGATTCATATGCCAATATTCCAGAATAAGTCCCAGGCCCAAAGTAGCCCATTCTGTATAAGAATCACAAGCCATCCCGATAGAAGCTCCGTAGTAGCACCGGAATAAGAAGCAAGATTACACGGTGGGAAGAGGGGGAAGGCGTCGGGCATTCGTGTTACTACTACTATTCCTACTATTTCTACTTACTATTTACTACGAATGGGTGGTGATTGTGTGACGGCGTGGTTTTGGGCATGAATCTGGCGGCTTTTTTTAGATCAAAGTTTATATCTTGACATCTTAACATTGAATAGAGGAAAATGTGCATTATATAGTATATCTAGCTACACCTATCCATATATGTGTTAATTGTCACTGTAGCCAGTGCTCTGAGAAGTAAAGAGTTGTCCGACCTCCCAATAGCTAAGGGGGGGGGGCATTATGTCCTTTATATACACGATGATCTACTAAGGTCTTTACTCAGGGTAGCACCTGGCATCGCTATACAATGTCGTAGCGTAACTGCGATCACATATGTACGGATTCATCAACAGAGTACTATTCTGTGGCGCTACTATACGCGTCAATTCCATTAAAAAGAACAAGAATGCAAATTCCCGAGTGGATCGGAGTGAATAAATCCTCTACACCATGGAAGCCCCTGAACCAGGTGCATGATTTCCGTGTGCCATGTCCAATTCCCAGATACTGTGTAACGACGCCCACCCCGGTTTTAACGAGTGAAGCGCGGGTGGAAATACATCATATATATAAATAAGAGGCCCTGGTCTACTACTATTATTCACCGCCAGCGTTAGTGAAAAAAAAAAAAAAAAAAAAAAACAAAAAAAAAAAAAGCAAAGGTTCAGTCCAGACTGACTTTCTCTTTCTATTTGGTATGTGCATATATCCTTCTTGAAATCTTTGGATCTAAGCTGTCATAGTACTTATTTCTACTACGTATTCCCTCACTGGATATTCTATTGGATCGCTTGTCCGGCAAGGGAAAAAGAAACGAAAAAAAAAAATGACACTCCATCTGATAAAACTAGCCGACAAATTCTCCTGCTACACCCGAAGCGAGAACGAAGCCCGGTTCATCTACAACGAGATATTCCAAGCCCACGAATACGACGTAGCGACGCTGGGCAAAGCACCGTTCATAATCGACGTGGGGGCCAACATCGGGCTCTTCACGCTCTACATGAAGGAGAAGTACCCGCTAGCGAAGATCCTGGCGTTCGAGCCGGCGCCGGAGAACTTCGAGGCGCTGAATCGGAACCTGGCGTTCCATATGGTGGCTACTGCGGTGGCGTATCCGTATGCATTGGGTGCGGAGGCGGGGTCGGCGCCGTTGACGTATTTTCCTAATGTACCGGGTAACTCGACCCTGAATATGGAGGAGAAGAAGTGCCATATCGAGCTCTTTCGGGAGAAGTATAGCGTGACTTTTGCGGATGATATGTTCGGGGGTGCCAGAGAGATCGTCGTCCCTGTTAACCGGTTGTCGTATTTCCTGGATCGCTTTCACAGTGAGATCGATGTGATTGACCTTCTTAAGATTGACGTTGAGGGCACGGAGATGGAGGTGTTGGGTGGCATTGACGATGCGGACTGGCATAAGGTGCAGAATATCGTTATCGAGGTGAGTAATATCAAGGGGGGCCGCGACAAGGTCAAAGAGCTACTCGAAAGTAAAGGCTTCACGGTTACCGATATGGCTGCCAAGGGGATTCCAGAGATATTCAAGCTGTTCATTGTGACAGCCAGCCGCTGAGCAGGATGGCAAGACCACTGGCGATGATTTTATCTATTCGTTTTCATCTTGTCATAGTCGTTGAGACCACAGACCGTAGCTATCTCCATAGCTGTGGTGACTATACTAAAAGTTCATGCCACTTTCGTGAAGTAAAAAAATACGATAGCAATCATTTGCTTGGTAATATATCCATGAGCAATCAATGTACTTCCCCTACCTAACTAGACAGACTGACATGCAAAACGAAATCCAGACAAACAATGTATGACATACAAGTAGTAGATATAAAAATGGATACAGAATGAACATAAAAAAGGATAGAGGGGGCTGGCAGAGCCCTCTAGGGACAATCTAGAGGCAGTGGTCTAGACCACTGCCTAGACGCATGTGTCTGTCATAGCCAAATGGCTCTCTCTATATGGACGTTAAACTTGATTAAATAAAATAAATAAAATATAAAAATGGATAGAAAAAAAAAAAGAAACGAGGGACGGGCCGGGATCGAACCGGCGACCTAAAGATAGCTTGCAATGTTTTCTAACCAATGGTTAATTGCAATCTTCCACTCTATCCACTGAGCTACCGCCCCACTAGATGTTATCCAGCCAGATATTTTGCACTGATGAACGTAAGGCACCCGATGCTACAAATCCGCATAACTCCGTCAATCCATACACGCCTCGTTCTGGAAATATCTAGTACGTGAAATAAGCTCGGCGGCTATATTTGAGGCTTGACGAAGTATGAGAAGCTAGTATAGGATTGACTGGAATACTAGGGTGAGTTTTCTATGGGTTATGCAGTGCCTGTGCTGGCCTGCAGGACGAGAGACGCATTGGCCTCCCTGTTTAGGTTCTTCGTTATCTCTGGTCTTGACCATTTCGTACGGTAGGTTTCTTGGTTAGGTATTGATTGCGTGGGTAATATGATATATCCATAAATGGGATCACTCTGGCGCGTATATATCTAGTTTATCTGCGTACTGTTTTCTGGGGTTGATGTGCAGTTGGGAAGGTATCTTGTGTATGCTGTACAGATATATATCGATCCTAATTGACATTTATTACTCAACCATTGCACTATAACATACCAACAAACAAGTTTCCATGTTGACCCCAACCTAACAGGTATGAATATTTGAAACCTAGTAAATTTCACTAGAAGGACAGCTGAGTATCCTAGATACATAAAAGAGCTCCAAGTTCTGTATAACCGTAATACAAGCCCTGTCAGATTCACATCATATCGTATAGTCACGTACTATCGTTCGACGGGCAATGTAACACGCACTGCGATGTATTGAAACACAGCCACAGACTAAACTGAAAAATATGAGAGTAACTTTTATGGACCTAGAGTCATAGATACCAAACGAGTCACGTAAGACAGTAAGAGATCTGACGCTACCGTCCTGGTCGACCTGGACCTGACTACATGCTCCAAGAAGCTAGACAAGGTAACGATGTACAAGGGCTGGGACATATAATTTTTTTTTTTTTTTAAAAAAAATAAAAAAAATATGACAATGGCAATAGCAATCACTCAATTTATACAATCAGGGCTGTATTCCAACAAGACAAAGAATGCCATGACAAGATGACCTACGTTAGTACATGGCAGCTAGCAAGATATCCATGGCTATACGTTGGACATGGATTGGATGACCTCTTTCGAGATACGGATCCATACCTCCTACATTAGCATGTTCGTTTGTGCTCTACCGTCCGCAAGGCTGATACGTTGTCTGAAAGCCTGACGGAGGCGTATATCGCTGTTGCAAGAGAGCTGTGCAGCTGTCTGCGTGCAGGAGCTGGCACTAGCTGGGATGGAGGTCTTCTAGACTGTCTTTGACGGTGAAGGGCCTGATATCCTGCTTACATGTCTGTGACAATGAACTTGTGCTCCGTATTTATATTATGAGTTTTCTGGTATTGTTAATAGTGAGTTCAAGCTGACTCTTGCACTGTGTATACAGTATAGCTGTGCCGGACAGGTCTTGTCTATACAATTACGCCATGCCCGTGGGAGGGTGCCAAATTAGACAGTCCCGAATTGGTGAACTATGACTGTGCTGACATTCATATGGGATGTGAGCTAGCCCGTGGATAGGGTGAGAATACAAGCTCATCTGACTCCTTGCCGTGGATAAGGTAAAGTGCAGACCCCTGGAAACTGGTGACACGGGCTCAGACCTCAATGTCGTTTTCTACACGAGAAAAATGCAATGTCCGTGACAAAGCACCGGGCTATTCACCAGAGATCCTGTTTATTGTTGCTGTTGTACACTAAAACCAAGCAGATAATCCGACTAGCGAAGACAGTGGCACCAAGTCATGCTCCGGGACGGACAACAGACCTTCACAGTATTCAGCGGTACAGCATGGATGGCTGATAATCACCGGATAGATAGCTCAGAGGCCATTCCTTCACATACATCAGAAACCATATGAATGGCTGTAACTAATCCAATAGACCCAGTCCTAGACTTCACCCCTCGTCCACATCTCCAGCCAACAGTCGATTTTCTGCCTGGCCGCGCGAAAGGAGTCCATGGCTTCTTCGAGTGTGTCCGACACCGCCTGCCACTTCACCTCGCAGTCACGCACGGCGTCCTGGAACGCTTTCACCCGGTAGTTGTTTAGAGCTATGTTCGACGCAATCGACATATTTTCTGCCGTTGTTTCAGCTGGAACTGCCGCAGCGGCTGACTCGGGGGCGGTGGTCTGGCCACGCTTACCTTCAGCACTGGTTGCGATGCGCTGGGCCGCCGGTTTACGCCCACGCCTGGGTCGCCTCGGTGAGGATTCCGGTTCCTCTACGATGGCGCCCTCGTTGACTACGGCCTGGGTCTCTGCCGGCTCGGCGCTCCTCGCCTTTCGTGGTCTACCCCTTGCCCTTGGAGGGATTTTAGGAGGCTGCAAATCTGTGGATTGGCTCTCGGGGCTCGGCCCTGCTCTCGTCGAGGAGGCCTCTTCTCCTGGATCGCCTGACACAGATTGGTCACTGGGTTTTGGCTGAATGGGCCTTTCTGATTTGAGGTGAAGGACACCTGAAGATATACAAAGTCAAACCGCGCTCTGGGAAAAGAATCCCGGGGGGGGGGGGGGGTACTATTTATACAGATAGGACTGACCTTCTTCGGAGTACTCGACTAAGCGGTGCGTACATCGGACCTTGGATCTTCTACAGACATCGCAAGCTGGCCGCAATTTAGGCTTCTTGGCCGGATTCACCGCCGCTGCGCTGGTGGTTTGCTAAGGTACAGATTAACAATAATAGGGCGGCATCAGAAGGAGCTAGGAATCCTACTAACCTGGTGCGACGAAAGGTCTTGACCCTGTCCAACATTTGGAATATCCTCGAGACTAGTCCCCCCCGCGCTCTTATCGGGCCTGGCATCCAGAGCCGGTTCTTCAACACCTAAAGCTGACGCTTTGCGCTTACGACGATTGCTGCCCCTCACAGCATTGCCTGACTGGGTTGGCGGCATTAGACCAACGGCGTCAGGAGCTGTTTCGACCTGGGAAGATCGGCTGTCCCCCGGGACACTTTCGGGATTAGGAATGAGAATGGGCTCATCGACATCAGCGGCTTCTTTCTCGTCCCCAGCATGATTAGTATTTCCCTCGGAGCCATCAGACTGAGTAGCTGAGGCCGGGGTATTGGGTCTGGTCGGTGATCCTGTCTGGGAGCCAACTGACGCGGCTGGGAGACTGCCTGCGGTACACTGTTCGCACAACTCGATCTCGTCGGGAACGTCGTCGGCGCGCGGGGCGCCACAGTTTTTGCAAGGCCTGGCCATCCTCACGGGATCTATTAAGAGGGGCACTTTGGAAAGCCCTGTCGAAACAGGGCGACGCAAGAGCCGTATCAATGGATCGACAGGGAGGATTGAAAAGAGAACTAGGGCGAAGAGCTCGTAAGGGTTGTCCTTCTGCGCCGGGGTCTTCTGTTCGCGCTCCTTCTATGGAGAGACTGTTCGGAATTTATGAAATCGGGTTGAAGAATAACCAAGGGATCTGAAACGGAGGAGAGGACGAGGGCTGGGGGAAGCAGTTGTTGGCTCAGTCTGTGTGAATGAAAAAAAGTGGGGGGGGGGTCCGACTATTATGGAAAACGCATAATAATCATAATAAGCAGAATAGGAAGAATAATAATACGGCCGCAGGAAAAGAGCGGGTGTTAAAGGATTAACCCGTCTGCCAAACACTTACGCCTTTATGCTTGGTTGAATGGGAATCTCCAGCCCGCAATAAGCTGTTGCATCCTTACTGAGGATGCCCTGGAGTGCTCTGGACAATGCGCAATCTCATTGTCCCCAGACAAAGCAATTCAGTTGGATCTTGCACCTGTCCTGCTCTATGCTTTCTGCTGTTACAACCGCAAAGAATCATGCTTGCTTGGCGTCCCTACACTGCCTGGTTCCTCTATCATTGTGCGTATTCTCTCCATGGCGTACAAAGCATACTAAAAGTACTTACAGAACTCATGGCCACAATTCGGTTTCCACCCACTCTCCCTGCCCCCCGGTATTGTGCGCAGGAACAAAGGTCCATCGCACACGCCGGACATTCTGAAGGTCTGACAGATCAAGACGCTCGACCTCACTGGGACGAATCACCACCACCCGGAAGTTCCCACGCGCAACGGAATCCTGAAGATCGTCTACCTGTTGGCCCAACTTCAAGCTCGGGTCTGCAGGCACCTGCGATCTAGGCTGGCCAGGCGGAGGGTTTTTGAACGATCCTGGACCACTCGGTCAACATCTTGTCCTTTATACGATTGGGAAAGAACAACAACAACAACAACAACAAAAAAA